GTTTTCGTTGAAAATTGTAACAGGACAAACAGATTATTGCTACCCCCATGTGGGAAGACGATACAAGCGCGCAAGAAACCTTAACGACAGTCCTTTCAAGTTATACTCGGTGGTCGTAGTGGGGGAAATTGAGAACGGTTGAAGACTATTTCTGTGTTGACAAAAGGACACTCTTGCTCAAAAAATACTCCAACAGCCAAATGGAAGATGATTTAATTATTTAAAGGAATATTCGAGTTTTCTTTAATGGAAGGCTGAAAGGATGTTTATGTCTCTGTTGAAGGGAATTTCATATTTGTCGAACAACTTTCGACCAAAAATTATAAAACTTTGCCATAGGGCTGTGCTGTGCTGTGCTGTGGAAAGTTTCTACAAGATTTTCCAAAACTCAGCGCTTATTTGCTTTTGGCAAACGGCATGTGAAGTAAAGTGCAGTTCCTGAGCGTTACCTTAAGTCCCATGCTCGGATAAAACTCATTAACGCACGTTCGTTCCACACAAAAACTACAAAACTATTCAAAAAGTTTTGTTTAGCAAGACATTAGCTGGAAATAAGCAAATAAAAAGGGGAAGTGGGGGGGAAAACCAACTTCACTTCGCTGTGCACTTTGTGAAAAGTTATTTTCCTTTTCGACTGAAAACGGGGCACCAACCAACTTTTCACTTTGCACAAGTGTTTTGTTTTTTCAGAGTTCTCCCTTGGAAAATACCCAGAAATAGTTGAGGGTTATTTGACATCTGGACAAGACCAACATGTTAACAATTTACTTAGCCATGCTCATTGGAGGCTGACAAATTCGTGGAACCCAAATTAAAGAGGAAGAGACAGTAGTGACGGTGGTGTCTGTTGTGCCTCAAGTGTATGCCTCCTACAGTATATTTTATGCCTGCCACGTTTCACGCATAAACCGAGAAACTTTACGACTTTCCCGACTTTCTCTCAAAGGAGGCACGCGCACAATTTGTCAATCAATAAATTTGCTATAATTAATGCTGCTTATTGGCATTTCATACACTTATCACACTGCCGTATACCGACCCGTATGGCCATCCCATCTTTATATATATATATACAGTATTTATATGTCTAAGTCATGGCTTTTGCTTTTTTTTATTTGCAGTTACAAAATTTGTACGCATTGGTATTGCCGACAAAAACGATTCACCACCATATTTCGATAGATTTCTGTACGAGACTGAGATCGATGAGAATGCCGATTTGCAGAGCACAGTCCTCACTGTCAACGCCAAGGATCACAATGAGTGTGAGTAATCGAAATCAAACATCTACGCAGAGTAATTATTATTCGAGCTACCGAAAGTGACACCAGATTCAAGTGTAATCAATATTCCACATTCCCTACCCCAAAAGAAACCAATAGCCCATATCCTGCCAAAGAATTATCCAAAGCATTCATCAAGACAAAAGAATAAACTCTTCATCGTCGAGTCTCTGTGTGTGTATTTGTTATTTAATGTTCAATTTTCCTTTCGCCTCAAATTGGATTTCTGCTTGAGCTACCCACACCAAACACTTGCGTAATCGAGCGATGCCCAGATGAATGTATTGCATAAATTGGCAATTGATTTAATTAAGTGTGTCTTTAATTGTAATTGTCGGGGTTGTACTGGCCACGAGGGGGCAGAATATTTGCATTTGAATCAGCTGCTCTTCTGCGCAGTAAAACGGAAAGAGAACATTGAAATTACAAGATTGTAGCCATAAAGGAAAGTGGTGCCTAATGTACAGTTTAATAATTAATAACTAAAAACCAAGCAAGATTACTCTTTTATTTAAGAGAATTATTAAAATAATTGTTCATGCAAAAAAATGGCAACCTTTAATGGAGAGTAACATTAAATTAGATCCAATAAGAATTTGTTTAAAGTAATATAATAAAATAAATTATTTCAAATAAAAATGATGAAAACTTATTTAAATTCTAGCTTTCAAGCAATATGTAATAGTAATCCAGATGCTTGTTGTATGAATAAGGATTTTTGAATTTAAGCAACTTAATACGTTCAGATACATTTATTCGCTGTTTTTGACAGACTGATCCCATAAAAAAGGCACAGCTTAATTGGAATTCAGTACACATTGGATGTTCATGTCAAGCATTGGTTGAAACAAAAGCATGCACGAAGTGATGATTCAGCATGCCAGGAATGACCACAACATTTCCAACACATAGCTTCGACGGCAATCATTTTGAATGGGAAATTACTAACCAAAAAAACTCAAGCAGTCGGATTGACATTTGAGGGTGAGAGAAATGCAATATAAAAAGAAATCTAAATGAAATTCGAATCGAAGCACTAGATCATCGCGGAATGATAGTCCTAAAATTCTTAAACGTTTAACATTTTACCTCGGATCGAATCGAATCGAATTGAATTGTCATTTCCTCATCTTAAGTCAAAGAGGAGCAATAATAAAGTCATCTTATGACAAATGCTCACATGATTTCTGCCGAATCATTTCACAGCGACATTTCGTTGTAATTTTCAAGGCAGTAAGGCCCTCCACTTCCTTGCTTCCAGCAAGAACGAAAAAACGAGAAAAATTATGCGAAAATATGCCATAAACATTTAGAAAAAACCAATTTGGCAATTTCCCTCATGTGTGCCAGCCCTCCCATTTGAATTTTCGTACTTATATGCATAAATATTAAAGCAACTCTGGTATATTTGCCCATAAACATTTATTTATTTTAATACTCGACTGGATTATTACTAGGCCTGGGCCATGTACCGCAAATATTTACGAAATATTAACAAATAAAGGCTCATCTCATTGAAGATAGAAAACGAGATACAAGATACAAGTCCATGCATAAATCCATAAAATACAAAGACAAACACAAATGGAAAGCAAGTGAGCATCTAATATGCGTATTTGTATATTTGTCTATTGATTCCCATGCGGAAAATTATTATTGTTAATACGATGGGGAATCCAGAGAATGGATGGCGGCCAAACTACAGAGGGGAAAACTCTCGCTCTTCTTATCTGTGGAAAATACGATTTGCAGCATGAAAAACATTCAAAATCTCATTGAAAGCGTTTAACAACTTTGTAACCCTGGAAAGGAAGACCACGTTGTGGCTTTTTTTGGGGAAGGGGGGCTAGAACTTTGTCTTCCGAGTCTCACACAACAGCAACAGCTCCAAAGAGCCAAAGACCGGAAGATATCCGGAATCCTTGTTGTCGCCGTCGCGACGACTGTGAAAAAAGCATTAACCCGAATTGAAGGAAGAAAGAACAGTAGGAACGTGGCACAGAAATGGCCATGGAAACAATAATCCGCCAAAGAAAAAGAGTACGTAGGAAAAACGTTGAGTGGAGAGCGCCAGCAAAACGGAAAAATAAATGTACACACGAAAATTTTTGAACTACTCGCAGCAGGAAAAGCGGATACATAGATGAAGGATTTTCATAGCCCAAAAACTCGTGAGGAACACTCGTATACTCGTATGAATTGAAAGCTGTGACCCCGTCCGACTGGGTTGGGGTCATGACAAATCTTTTATGTGATTTCTTGTTAGCATGTTTACGTCTACTTTCCAAAAACTCATACAAATGGAGCTGTAAAACTTTGTTGCTGCCGCTGCTGCTGCTGCGCACCACATTCCAAATTTATGAGCGAAAAGATTATTTATTGGAGTGTGTTCCTATACTCTGCGGCTCAGCAGTGGCTGCCATGTGCTGGCCAAATGTTGCCCCCATTTTTTGATTAAACGTAAATGGAGTGTGCCTCTATAATGAAAGTCCTTGGATGAAGTTTGTGGGAGTTTCAATCATTCAAGGGGTGTGATATTGAGATTGAAGATTGGCTTCAAATGGGTTACAGAATTCTCGATTCCGCTAGCACCGCTTCTAGTCACTAATGAATACAACAAAAATTTAAAAAACAACCCTACTTGTTCCTTTAAAATTGTATTCTTTAAGAAACTTCTCAAATCACCACGCGGCTTATCTAAGAAACAAAATAAAACCCAACAACCTTTCAGTGTGTGCCATAAAAACACTTAGGGGCTGTCGGCCTGCCACGAAAAACCTAAAAATATCAAAACAAGACTAAAAGGCAAATGTTTTTGCTACTTTTTAAAATGACTTTTCATGCTAAATAAGTACGAACTCGCAGCCAGCACAATATACAAGGCAACGGGGGGTGGGGGGGTGGCCCTCCCACCGAGAGAACCATGTGGCGTTTCGTATGGGGGCTGGAGGTGGAAGAAGAATCTTTACTGCCTTGCCGGCTGCTCCCATGTGTGGCTCGTGTGTCTCTTGGGTGTTGGCTGGGGCATGGTACCCGGACCCTGGTGTCTGTATATTAATTTATTATCATTATCAGTGATTTAAAAATGGCGTCATGACATCGTAAATTATAAACATCATTGTCTAAGACTGGGGACCACTTAACACGACTTTGCCGGAGCTACACTTAATGTCCATGTTGTTGCTTTTATTGCCCACCATTGGCCGGAAAGTGACTCAAGGAAGCATAAGCGCACCATGTGCCACATTGTTTAAACTAGAAATTATTTTATGGCAGCTCCTTAAGATATTCACTGTATATTTAAAGTGCCTGAAAGGCGGTTTATATTTTTTCCTTTTTGTATTTAATCGGCTGGTTGTACGACGATGAGTCCGCATAGACCAGGTACTTCACTTTATTAAATATGGAATGTTGGAATATTAGAAAAAGAAATATTTCACTGAAAAGTTTGAACTCAAAAAAGAGTTGGCCGAACGGACACCAAAAATGGAATGTGATTATTATTTTCGACAATCACCTACAAATACCACAAAATACACAGATTTACTGTATTTCGTTTGGCTGCTGTATCATCGATATAATTTCAGTATTTTTAGAAAACTCGAAGGTATTTTCCCAAGCAGGAAAGATTTTTCAGTCATTCGAAATCAAAGAAGGCTTAGCCAAAGCAGACAATATATGTTTTTTTGAATGTCTTCAGTTTTACTGTAAGGCTTGAAGGGGAAACACCAAAAATATCTAGAACAGAAAAATAACTAATAAAATTACAAAAATGTCTTGCTTAACCCTAAAACGTTCTCGTCGCTTTGAGGATGAAGCTTACGATAAATATTCCCCAAAGCCAACTCGCAAGCGCAGCAAGATCCTTCGAAAAGAAAAGCGTTCGCACCCCATGGAATGGGAAGGTTCAGATATCTATCCCGCGAAGCGACTGTGCAAATATGGTCTGGAAACCAAAGCAGAAAATGTAAGACTTCTAACAGAAAGGTTTTTAGAGCAACTATTTAAGATGGAACACGTTCCCTTAGCTTTTACCTCTTCAGAGTCCACCGACGGAGGATAGCTCCAGTCAAAAGGAGCAGAAACTATTTACTTTCAATCAATTGCATGCCATGTGCTCTAGCATGATCAATCAAAGCGAAAAACAACTAACTGACTATTACGAATTGAAGCTGAACGAACAGATGACTTTACAATATGACACATTCATTAAGTTCACACACGACCAAATGCAAGGAGGAGAATTAATCAAAATTTCAGGTTATCTTTCATAAAAAATTCGACCCATGTTGTGTTCTAGAGTTGATCTCGTTATTGCTTGAATAAAATGCTTTTAAATCTATTCGCGCAAGCAGCGCAAGCGGGGCAGTTGCACTGTTAACAGAATAGCTTAACAGCCTGTTTACGCTACGCGCTGACGCGCACCCGTCTACAGTGCTGTTAACGCACCCGTCTACAGTGCTGTTAACGCACCCGTCTACAGCGCGATCCGCCCGACTCGCGAGCGGCTAGAAATTTGTAAGCTGGAGCAAAGTGACGCTTGGACCCAGACCTCACGGATTTGGAACTTCACCTCTCCTTTCGAACTACTGCCAGAAACCCGTCCGGAACTAACTTCTGTAATAAAATGTGGGACAATGGAATTTAATACTCTAATCGGCTCATCCGCTTGCTCTGCCTGTTCCAGTTACAATTCCTCCGGCCCCTAACTTTATCTGGTGAAGCAGGTTAAGCGATTTACGCGTCGCTAATTTACGTTAATGTTTGCCCTTTCACATTTCCGCATAAATGCACAGACAATGCGCAGCCCCATTTGCTTGTCATTCCCCATTTGCCACAACTACGCCGGCTGGGTTGTCACATGTGAGAGCATTTCCATATTCTCCCCAGTGCTGACAACACTTTTGCAGGCTGTTTAAACATTGAATAAGTAAATTATATGCCATGTATGAACGAGCACAACTACGTATGTATGTTGTTATTCCACTGCACACGACATCATGGCATGCCACGCCCATTCCCACGGCCAGGCACAGCTCTCTGGCAGCATTAGGAGGCATGTGACTCGCTTCTTTTGGTTGAAAAATGTTTTTTAATGAACTTAATTATTTTCTGCCTCCTGCTGCCAGCTGCCTGCTGTTGGCTGTTTCTTTGCCAGTCTTTTGACGTCTCTGACTTTTGTCCTACGTTTTTTGATCCTTGGGGAAGTTTCTTTTCGTGGAATCTTTGGTGTAATCTGTTGAGGCGTGGGATAGGTACTTACCTGTGAGTACTTTGGGATGAAAGTGTTTTAATTTCTGACTGATGATACCTACGGGAATTCTAAGGGAGTGTTTACAGGTATCAAACATAATGAAAATATTATGTTAACTCAATTCACCGATGGTATAAAAGTTCTACCATCACCTTTTCTTTTTTATGTACCCTTTGAGCTCTTAATCAAATTAAATTGAATACATTTGTGCGTCAGATACCCTTAATACACCAATTCAATTAGGCAAGTGAGTGGACAAATTAAATGAAATCCTTTCTTTTTTGTGTACCTTTTACAGCGACGAATATTCGATACCAGATCACAGGCGGTAACATAGGCAATGCCTTTGCTGTACAAAACACGACCGGTGTCATCTACGTGGCGAGTCCCTTGGACTACGAAACGCGGCCAAGGGTAAGTACTATACCATGCCATACTCGTACCTTCTCTAGGACTCTCTCTCCACCCTCTTAACTGGTGACAAGACCCTCGACTAGGCTAAGGCCCTTGTCTACAAGTTGCTGCACATTTTTCTTTTCCCTCACACATACGTATACGGTTTAGGTTTTTTTTTAAGCTAGGTCTTAACTTTCTGTTGCATGCATAATTTATATATTTTTCCGCTCCAGTGATTCTACGCAAAGAACACAAAAAATATGTAAAACTATGCGAAACTTTTCTTCTTTATATTTTTTTTTTTTGGCACACAAAACTTTTGACAGATGAACAGCGGGGTAAGGCAAAAGACAGAGGGGTGTATACAAAAAATTAATCCAAAAAATAAAGGAAAATTCGCTTACATGCAGGAACACATCGGCAGGGCAGGAGGCAGGCACAGGCTGGAGGCTGGAGGCTGGGAGAGACAGCTACAGCTGTCGTTACATTTCCCAATGCGCATTTTTAACGTGATTGCCCCGACTCCCAGTCATCACCTACGCAACTTGTTTTGGCTTTGGCAGGAGCCTCCACAGAACCCCTCCCAACAGGGCCGGGTAAATCCGTGTAGCTGTCAATGCCCAGCCATGCAACAAGCAGCCACACTGCTGCCACTGTGTGGCACCAGCAGGCAGAGCAGCAGCGAAAACAAGCCACAGCACACAGAACATGTGTTACCAATTTTGTAGATTTTTTTCTTTTGTTTTGTTTTGTTTTATCCTTTTGCGAAAAAGTTTTAGTGTCCATTCATGCGATTTTGGCTTTTGTTGTTTAAATTGAGCCTCGGCAACCGATTCACAGGCAGCAGTAGCAGCGGAGTCACTGGCAGCTGCACCATACATATGTATACATATATACATACATATATGTAGCATAAAGCATTAAAAACGTTTAGGCAAAATATATGTAAATCTCTGTAGCGAATTTCTTTTGTGCTGTTTTAAAAAAGTTGTTTATATAAAACAAAAATAAACTTCCAAATGAAATAGGATTTGTTCTAAATGTTTTTGGTCGAAGATCAGTCAGTTGTCATGATAGTATTTCTTTCTTGAAATTTTCAATCGATCAAATATACTCAATATAATTGTAATTAATTGTCTTTCACAGTTTGAACTGCGTTTGGAGGCCACTAGAAATCGCAAAAACAACTACACCACCGTAGTGATAAATGTACGCGATGTCAACGATAATCCACCGGTATTCGATCGTCAAACATATCGAACACAAATCACAGAAGAAGACGATCGGAATCTGCCAAAACGCATATTGCAGGTTAGTTGAGAGAGAGAAAATATAAAACAAAAATATTAAGCTTAGCCATATTTATTTATTGACATATTAAAAAAAGAAATCTGTGTTCATTTTTTTTAATATAATTTGATTAGGTTTCACAATTAATCTGATTTTGTTTCCTAACAGAATAATAATATTATTGAAAATACGTTTATGATATTACAAAATGAGGTCTTATATTTTTTCAATCAATATAAACTTTCGCTATTTTTTTATCGTGATTTTCGTGGGCGTTACCTATCCCTTGCTTTATCCGTAAACTCAATCAAAATGCTGCACACTTTCCAGGGCAAGTGTTCTGGCCAACATTTATCGCCTTATTGGCTCACAACAATTTAAATATTGACAGAAACAGAAAGAACAGCGGAACATCAGAACATCAGAACAACAAAAGAGCAGAACAGCAAAAAGCTGAAAAAAAAAATCACACACAATGCCCAGTAATTTACATAAAAAGCCAAAAACTTAAAAAGAAAAAAAGTAGAATGAAAAACCGAACACAAACATCATGCAGCCAGCCAGTCAGTGCTCAAGTGGCACGCGGATAGCACCCAGCACAAGGCTACAGAACTCTGGTTATGTCTGGTGAAAACATGGGGATTATGGTGAGAGGCAAAAGTTCTGTATTCGAGTAGTGGAGCCATTCAGGCGTAAATACAAATAAATACTCATTCATTAATAACAACGTGATAGTTGGGCAATGGCTGCCATACAAGACCGAACATAACTGTTTATATATATAAATCCGCAACAATAATACATATTCAATGTACAAGTATGTATGTACACGAATGTATATACATACATATATGTATGTATGTATGTATCTCCGAACAAGCGACTTTTATTCAAGCCATAATTTACAAACATAAAGAACGGAGAAGCAGAGGAGCAGAGACTGAAACATTTTTATGGTTCCATAAACATTTAAATACTCTTTAACGTATGCATTAAACAAATTGCCTTTTTATATGGTATATAAGTATAAATATGTGACAATGTTCTTCTATATCTAAATGATAAATATCAAATGGATTAGCATTATGGCTCAGCATCAGAATGATTTATACCAAACGGAAGTTTTATTTTGACCATTGTATTTTTTATTGCATTTATTGGACTCATTATAGCTTCCGATTGTTCTACACAAATTAAGTTAGAATCTGTCTTACTTCTGCTTTAGCAAAAACACTATTAAGAAGAGCATTTCGTTGTCGCTTTTTGCTTATTTTGTATTTAATTTTTAAATAAAAATTAAAATTGCACAGCTCAGCACGCGTGTCCAGCGCAACAGCCCAGTGACCACCAGTGCGAATTTTTAATTACACATTTATGTATATTGCGAGGAAAGTGTTTGCAGAGAGGATGCGGATGAGGATGCCCCATCCTCATTGTCATCGTTCGCCCAATAATTGACGAGAATTTCTCATACTTATAGTATACATAGAATACGGAAGCGGCGGAGTCGGAGTCGGAGGCGGGCGAACACGCTTTTCCTGGGTCCGACACCTTTTCGGTGCTCAAATTGATTTCTGTTCTTGGAAAATGGAATGCAAATATTTTAATGTTGAACGCTGCTGCACGAGAAAGAGGCATTTAAATTATGCACTGAAATGGTTTCACGAGACGTTGCCACGGGGCGGGGAAAGTATGAAAGTTGTTGAAAGGACAATGGCTCGACGGACGGCTCGTTTCCGCCTCCAACGAGCGGGCAATAATAATGGGCACAGTGATGGCACATAGACAACTCTTTTGTCATATCAAATTGTGTTCAACATTTAACGTAAATTGTCGCATTGTGAGTGGGAATGGGAATGGGAATGGGAGTGGTAGGAGAGGCGGAAGCGCACAGGGACTGGGCTGGGCGGGCATGGGAATGGGAATGGGAATGGGAGGCACTTAACACGTGACGATGATATAATGGACCAAGGACCCAAAGGATATTGCTACAAGTTTGTCTGTAATTGTCAGCTGCAACTCCATGTACGAGCAGCAGCAGGCTCTGTTTTTTTTAAATGGTCGTTTGTGGTTGGTTTCGTAGTGAAAAATGTATAATAGAAATGGGCTACAGGACTCGTGCATAACTTTGTTTCCATTACACTTGCATCACAGTTACTTCATGCCTGCAGAGAATGGATACATAAAAGTACAGCAGATACAAGGAAATAATTGCTTTTAATTGGCATGACATCCTCCTGCTTCTGTAGTGTTTCTCTGTCAATCGCAACGATGAAAACACACAGAATTTGCATAGTCTACACCCATACATGTTGTTCTTGTTCTGGTTGTTAAATGGAGATTACAAGCACTATTCTGAGACAAAAAAGGGACTGCATTCACAAGGCTTACAGAGCTTTAGC